GTGTGCATTGACTAAATTTTGTGTGAAAACGACATTAATTGTATTAATGGTATGGTCACAACAGACAGATGTTGTGATAATTGTGTTTAGAGTTTTGAAAATGTGAATACAGAATGGACAAATGGATGCTAGCAACTGCAAAAAACTGTAATAGTTTTATTATTTATACTTCTCTCTCTCATTTTAAACTATGATATGTTAGACCTTTGTATTGAAAAAGTGTTTATGTGCTAAGTCATTTTTGATCTATCATCTCTAGTATTTGTTGGTAAAATGACAATATAGGCTTGCTAACTGTTTGGCAGGCCTGAGCCAAAATAATCACATACAGTAGGACATATATGATAAAATCACATCTTTATCAAATACAGTTTGTGACAGAGCTTAATCGCGGTTAAATCCTTTTTGCAGCTAACCAAAAAAAAAAAAAAAAAAAAAAAAGGTCAAAGTTTATAATCAAATACTGCCTGGAACTAAAGGGAAAGACGATGTAACATAGAACTGAAGCATCATTCAGTGACCTCTCATTCCTTGAGATATGTCTCAGGGATTGTTTTCATGCAACATGTGCCAAAATGGTGCAAAGAAAAGCCTGCCAAGCAACAAATTTGCAATCCAAAGTCACTTATCATACTGCTAAATATAACAGTCATTCAGCTTTGTTGCTGATTTGTGTAGCAACAGGAATCGAAACATCCATGTAGGTATTTAAGGTTTCAGAACAAAAAAAAATCATCACTGAAGGAAAACTACTCCTGCATTGCAATGCTTGCTGAAGCAACATTTGGTGCATCTTACTTCTTTTATGTTTGCGTTCATAGTTTGCTTGATGTATGTGGATCTGTTTTGTTTCACGTCACTTATAATGTGATTCAATATTGTTCACATTCACGCGTATACAGGAATTTGGATTTTCTGGAATTCACTGGCACCCTCAGGGAGGTGTGTGTGCGTTTACCTTTTTATTGTGTTATAATGTATTTGTTTCTATCCCAGTAAAGGACAAAGCATATTGCACGCTGTGTCTCTAAATAAATAGCATCTCTATAACTGCAGAATATTAACAGTATGGTTTGATTTTAAGCTCTTCTAGTTCATGTTAGGAAAATTGAAATGGTCATCAGTCTTTGCATTGGTCCTTAAGTGACTTCAGCTCACACAGGGAAACAATAGATACAATTTCAAGACTATTTGCAATAACTTACTGTTTGAAAAGTATGAAAGCTGGAACTAAAGTGCCGGTATTGAACTTAAGGTATTGAATCTCCAGCATTGCTGCCTCGGTAGCAGCTTAGTAATTGATCAGCTTTGATAGTCTAATAGCACTTTGCAAGTAGCGGCTCAATGATCCTGGTTCCAAGAAGAACAAAGAGAAAAGGAAATGAAAATGACTATGCATCTTATAAAATATTGATTATTGAAACATACAGTTTAGTTTGCTTGCATATAAGGACCACACAGCCTTTTGAAAGTGAAGGAGAGAATAAAGAATCATAACCAGGCCGGTCCAGTTTTATTTATTACTTTGCTACAAGGAATAGGCTAAAGCCCCCAGATGTACCATTATTGTTCAATTGGCAAATAACTGCCTTTGAACTTTTTTCCTTCTCCACTCATTCAGAAAAATTGCCCATGGATCATCATCCTGAAAAGCTGAGATGCTAGGGCCATATTTAAAAACTGAGTTTATTTCCCCTTTAATCTTTGATGATTATAACTCACACAGCAGCGCTCCAGTACTCTGCTGGTGATTATTCATTCACTGGCCCATTTCTCTCTTGGCTGAGGTTGCTCCCAGTCCAGTCATATTAATCAACTGCCACTCTAATTGACTGATTAAGTCATGTCTCCAGAAACCAAAATGGCTGGCTGACTCATTAAACTATGACACATATTCTGGTCACAAAATGGCTGACTGCAATCCAATTTCTCTGACTTTTATGGACACTATAATAGTTTTTCCCTTCAAATTTGATGTTAAACTCATAAGAAAATGGCTAGGTATCTTCTGAAGGATCCCATTTACTCATTCATGTTGCAAATCCTGAAATAATTTGCCACTCTCACAGACAGATATGAAAAAGCACCCTTAACCTATGGGCTTTTCATATAAGCTCATGCATTTGCAGATGATGTCACTTCTGGTTCTTGGTTTGTAAAAACAATGAGTACTGGCCAATATAAGGAGTCAAAACTGCCTAAGGGCATTTTTAAATATATATGTTATTGGCTATGGTCCAAATCATTTGACAGGTTTGTGAACTTGCTTTTAAAAAATGTATAGACACTGATGGTTCCCAGACAATGTATCTTTAGTTATTGATACTTTAATGATTTCTCTAGCACCACGGCGAGGTTGACATACTGTATGTGGCTTTGAGTAAAGTGTCTATATGTGCTAATTTGCAAAAATTTGCTCGGGCCCGGCCCTTGTACATCTGGGCTGATTCTGGCTGTTATACTGCAGTTTAAGTAACATTTGACAATCACGCTGTATGTGGGACAGACTCTAGCTGAGGAACCAGCCATACTGCATATTGAGCCAGATGTATGGATGGTTTTCCTGACGAGCCTACCAGGCACAGACCCAAGGACCCGAGATCACAGGTTAAAACACACAGAACAAAAAAGACACAAAATTACCATAAAAAGACACAAAACTGTGATAAAAAAGAGATGAAAATTTACCAAAAATGAGGTGAAATTACTACAAAAAAGTTACCTTACAAAATGACAACAAATGACATGCCTGCAGAAGCGGTGGAGTGTCTTTGACCTCTTTTTCCCAGGGGTCCATTGTCTCATTATCTGTCCATGGCAGGATGAAACACAATTATGTGGCTCAAATGGTTGCCAGGATAATTTCGCTCTCTGCCTTACAAAGCCAGCAGCACAGCTGTTAGCCTTGTATATTGCACAAAACTATTGCTCACCTAAGGGATCATAAAATTTTAATCTGCTGAATTTACAGTGGTTAATGTATTAATGAATAAACACATGAGTGACACTTGATTAGTTTTGACATGTAAGGCCATAGTGTAACTCTCCCTAAATGATAACTCATACAGTATATAACAACATGCACTGTAGCCACTGAGTCCATATTTTTACTGCAGGCTTCCAGCAACAGTAAGTTTATAATTCATTTCAGGGCGAGAACTTTATTATGTCTGACATTTTATTATATTTCACAAGATTCCGTTAAACTCCCTGTCTCCTGCTTACTGTATATAAAATACTGTATGAGGATAAATAAAAGGAGCTATGATTCTATAGGAAAATTAGCAATATATTTTCATGGGTTTTGGTCTCAGAATGAGCATGAATCTATCATATGGGTCCCGGGCTAAAAAACAAGGCCTGCATTAGATTGAAAATGTGTTATCGGTGGGTTGCCAAGTGCCTGTGCAAGAACCTGCTGGGGCCAATTCATTTATATTAGGATACCCTGTAGGCAGCAATAGCAAGAGTTTGTCCACAGGAAAATGCACTGACCGATGACGTCCATCTGCACCGAGCTAATGAGGCAGCGCTGGGTTAGTGAGTATAGGTCATAGTGGAACACACACATGCATTCTCACTCATGCACACATGAACATACGCACAGGATACAGAAACAAGTGCAAAATATAGTAACCATGAAGTACAAAGCATTTTTAAAAATGAGAAGTTTCTATAATAATAGTGTTTTCTAAAATGTTTAATGTTGTCTGAAATGTCAGTGTCAAGATGAATGTGTGTTTGTGTGTGTATTAGACTAAAATGTTTTTAGACTGTCTCTTTTTTCTTTCTTTTTTTTGGAATGATTTCTTGTCAAAATGTTTTCTGAGACAATGTCATGTTATTTGAAGTGGGTTTTCTGAAATGTTTCATTTTCAGTAATGTTCCTTTATGTTATAGTGCTTTCATATTATTTCTGTAACATTACATTTTTTTTGAATGATCTCTTTCCTGATAATTTGCATTTTCAGAAATGTCATATTTCTTAAATATTGTATTTTCTGAAAGTTTTTTTTAACGTTGTATTATACTTTCTGAAATGCTGCGTTGTTTGGTACAATGCATTGTTTATTTCTGAAATGTATTTTGTGTAATGCCGCATAACCACATACTTACACACAGGACGGATACAGGTGATTAAAAAAAAACTCACGCATGCAAACATGCACTGCCAAACATGTGCATCACACACATCCATGAACAGTACATGGAAG